GTGTTGTGCAATGCCGTGGAGGTCAGAAGAGCGCTTCGGATTCCCCTGGAGCTGGAGTTAAGGACGTTTCACAGCCTCCATGTGGGTGCTGGGAATCGAACCCAGGTCCTCTGCAAGAGCAGTCAGTGCTCTTAACCACTGAGCCATCTCTCCAGCCCCCAAAATAGAGATTTTAAGAAAATGAATCAGTGATTCAAAAGCAGAATCTACAGCCATAATGGCCTCTGTCAAAAGCTGAAGAAATCATACTTGATCATCAGAATTAGGACCCATGGAGTGACATTTAAGTTATTTGTTAAAGGTGGAAGGATTTTGAGTGGCAAAGATTGCTAGAACAATCTTATCAGGTGGAAAGATCAGTGTGCTGAACAGATCTGCATAGTTGGGAAGGACTGAGCTGTTAGGGTTCCGAAGGCAAGGAGACAGCTGGAGTGCTCACGAAGGACAGGTACATTGCTGCATCTTGTCTTTGTAGAGAAAAGAAAATCATGATGCTTGGGGGCATGGAAAACACATAGTTGGAGTACTTCCCTAGGGCAAGGGCAATTGACTGAGCAACTTTACACTAGGCATTTTGAATTGCATCATCTTCTATACTCCTGTAAGGATAGTCATTTTATGAAAACAGTTGTTTAGAGGGCTTGGGAAAACTGCTCAAGATAAAATACCTACAAAGAGATAAAAAACAAGGATTTCAATAAAAACTGATCTGTACTGGCAATTTTCTTCTCTGAGTAATAAAGTTTGCAGTAGTATCTGTGAAAAGACATGCAAGCTGGATGGCACTGGAATGGAAGGAGGAGAAGAATATTGTGGTTGGATGGGAATGATACATTGGAAATGGGTCTTAGAAAACTTTGCAATGAATTTAAGAATGGATGGGAAGGGGAGCTGGAGAGATGGGTCAGTGGTTAAGATCACTGGCTGCTCTTGTAGAGGACTTGGGTTCCGTTCCCAGAACCTACGTGGCTGCTAACAGTTGTCCAAGACTCCAGTTTCAGGGGATCCAACATGGCGTCCATGGGCATTGAATGACATGGGTGCACTTAGGTAGATGCAGAAAAAACACTAATACACAAAAATATAAATAAATCCAAACAGATTTAAATAAAGAATGGATTGGAGGAAAAGATAGGAAAGAAATGGGTAACCATTGTGTGTTTGCCAACACAACAGTGGCATCATTCATAGAAACTAGGACGTTAAGTGGAAGAACAGGTTTTTGTAGCAGAAGATGAGTTTGGCTTTAAACATGTTTGCTTTGTGGTATTGGAGGGACATCCAGATATCCGGTTGGAAGATTACAGTGCAGGTCTGAGCTCATGGCTAAAGAATTGGGAACAAGTCATATAAAAGCACTTTCTCAATTAGATAATATCATTGGGGGAAAATCATATCTGAACAAACCAAGATTAGCAACTGAGTTTCAGAGTAAGAAGAGCCAACAAATGATTCAACTCTTAATTTTTTAAAAATGTGGCTAAAATAAGGGAAGTCAGTACAAAGACAAGTGTCTGATTAACATCTGTATCCAGGAGACTTTAGAATGTGGGCACTGGAATGATCCACAGCGACTGCCATGTCTCCTTGTATATTTGTTTGGATAACTTTTTGTTACTTGCGTGAGTAACCTGGATAGTTTTTGGGCATTTGTGTGTTAGTAGCGTGCTTCAGTCACTTCTGTGCAAGAGACTTGAGATAGTCTGGGATGTGTGGTGAAGACACAGACACTGGCAATCGATTTGGAAATATTTGAGCAATATCTCTGAAAGCTTTGCCTTTAGTGCCTTGCCTGCAAAGGAATCCATATGAGTGCTTTCTACTTCTTTCTTCTCGTCTTTTATACCTAATCCTGGTAGGGGAACGTAACAATGTCAGGTCCTGAATGGGATGGCAACTGGAATAAGCCACAGTCAGGGTTTTAACCACTGTATCTTGGGAACTTGGATGTGTGTCTGTTTTGGCAAAGAACTAGGAAACTAGTGCACCTTTGAGGGCATATGGAGAAAGGAAAATTCAGGCAAATGATTCATAGATTATGATTATTACAAACATGAAATGAGGAAGTAAGCCTGTAATCGATCTTTATAAATGGCAAGGGCACCGTCCTTTCCCATTTGAAGAAAATCTTCTGGAAAGAGGCATGGTGTCTGTGGTAAAACATTGACTTTCTTGAATTTGTTAAGTGCTGGTTCATGATGTTTCATGTGGTTCGAGTTTGCTTTTAGTTTTTCCTCCAACACTTTCATAACTTTTCCTTGGTTTACTTGTTCATGGTTTTTATCTTGTTCATTGACCAACGACCAGAGTCCAGCAAAGGCCTGGCACGTGATTGGCATTCAGTAACTATTCTCGGAGTCCATGTGTCCTTGTGTCCACCTCCCTGCACAACTACTCGTTAACTCATTCATTCTTTTTTTTGTCAAATACTTAGTGTTTTTTAAAATGTACCAAATTCTGTGCTATTTCTTGAGGATGAAAAGACAAATCCCTTCTGTACTCGAGCTCAGAATCTACTGGCATATCAGTGGCATATACAGGGCCACAGTTCCTCTGTATAGCCACAGTGTTAGACCTGTGCATGTTCACACAGATTCAGGCTGCTGTGTGGAGGAAGGAGAGGAGAGCAGGGGAGGTCACAGGAGGCTTCTAGAAAAAGGAAGCCTCACTTCCTGTACTTTAGTGATCTCCTGGTATTTATTATCTTTTTGCCTTCTCTTATCTTAAAGCACTTCCTGCATACTGTGTCTTTCCCACCAACTTTTAATTTGTTCAGTCCTCCATTATCTTCAGAAAAACAGCTCCTCTCGGGCCTGGATCCTTCCAGTTACTCTCCTTCAAATATAATATTTTATTTATTTTTATTTTATGTGTATGCATGTATTGCCTGCATGTAGGTAAGTGCACTTGTGTTGTGTAATGCCAGTGGAGGTCAGAAGAGGCTATCCAATCCCCTGGAACTGGAGTTACAGACAATTGTTAGCTGCCATGTGGGTGCTGGGATTCAAATCGAGGTCTTCTGCAAGAACAGCCAGTATTCTTAACTGCTGAGCCATCTTGCCAGGCCCATAAAAACATATATTTTTTAATTTTGAGAATTTCATACATAACTATTGCCTTTGCATTATTTTTATACCTCCCAATCCCCTACAAACTCCTCCCATGTCTTCCCACTCCCTCTCAAGTTCTTGTCCTTAACTTTATTATTGTTAGACATACATACACTTATAAATACACACATAGACACACACACACACAAGGCACTGAGTTCATTTAGCAGTGCTCATGTGTACCTGTGTTTAGGGCTGCCCATTTGTGATTAAATAACCTCCCAAGGAGCTAGTCTCTGGAGAAAAACTGATTCTCTCTTGCTAAGAATTCATTGATTGCCTGTAGCTCTTCATCTTCAGGTGGGGCCCTGTGGCATTTCCCCCATCCACCTTGGCATGTCAATTGATTTTGTCATCTGCAGATCTCATTAGACTACCATACTGTGATTTCAGTGGTACAGCTTTCCTATCTCGTCTAGAATGTGCTAACTAGCAGCATCACCTACCTTTTTTCTAATTTTTTCTTTCTTGACTTTTACTCTTAAGACCACTGAAATCTGATCTTGCCCCCAAATTGCTTTCAATCAAGGTCAATAATGCCTTTTTTGTTGCTAAACACAATGGAAACTTTCCAGTTTTTTGTGATGTGTGTGTGTGTAACATACATGTGAGTGTGAGACTGTGTGTGCCTTTGCGTGTGCATGCTCAGAGGCCAGAGCAGGATGTCCTTCATGATTGCCTTCTATCTTATTGCCTTGAAGGAGTATCTCACTGAACTAGGAGGCTGACCATTTTTGCTAGGCAGG